AAAAATTTTGGGGGTTTAAATTTTTTTTTTGGAAATCTATACTTATGTAATTTTATTCAAAATTTTTGGAGGCTTAAAACAAATGTTTCACTAGGCATGTCCCAGGACTGACCTTGGGTTTGATCAGTCAGAGAACCCTCACTCTATTTTAAATTCATAAACAACTAATGTGTTTGTAGATATGTTAATCCTGACCTCTTCCGTTAGCACAAACCAGACCAATCAGTGCTCTTGAGAACTTCTTCTTGAACTAGAGGGAAAAGTTAAATCCCTTTTGGAATAGGAAAACGTTAGCATCAATGACGGCAGAGATGGCACTATCACAATTCTCTTCTCAATCCAACAATTATTAGCTCTTCGCCGTCAAATTTGCGCATACACCTCACGATTCTCTACTCAATCCAACATTCATATTGGCAATCAATGAGTCAAAAACTGTCGATTAGACACAAAGTATCACACATCAAAATTTGAAGAGATATTAACTAGTATATAAGATAGATGGGGCAATCTACTTATTACTGTTTGGTTTTAGGTTGGAAACTCATTTAGCTTAATATGGTATCAGAGCACTCGATCGACAAATTCTAACATGATGTTCTTCGATCTAGCCCAAAGATGACCCATCGGTTTTTGTCCGAACATTCTGAGATTGGCGCCAAAGAGCTATCATCTCGAAAAAGCATATTAACACAAAATATCCCACATCGGAAGTTGGAAGAATTATTAACTGGTATGTAAGATTAGATGGGTAATCCATTTATCACCAATCTATACTATTATTTAAGAAGTAAATTTGTTTAGTTGTCATGTTCTCCATAAGTTTAGGTAATTTTGTTTATTTATCATATTTATAATATTATATATAATTTATTTATAAATAAAACGAATTTATATGAATATATCATATTTTAGAAAATAAGATAATTCTTGTGAATTATGTTGTTATCTAGAAATATATTTTAAGAATTATTTTATTATCTAGAAATATATTTTTATATATAAAACTTAAAAATATAAATTTTATGTATTATGTTGCTATTTGAAAATATATTTTTCTATTATAAAACTTAAAATTTAAGATATAAAGTTATATTATTAATAATTTAGTTTATATTTTAGAAAATAAGTTAATTCTTATGTATTATTAATTATCTTGAAAATATATTTTTCTATTATAAAATTTAAAATTAACATGTAAAAAATCTATACTATTATTTAATAAGTGAATTTGATGTTTGCTGATTTGTCATATTTTCCATGATTTTAAGTAATTTTGATAATTTATCATAATTTCTATAATTTTATATATAATTTATTATATATTTAAAACAAATTTCTATTAATAGTATCAGATTCTTAGAAAATAAGATATTTCTTATGTATTAAGTTGTTGTCTTGAAAATACATTTTTGTATTATAAATTTAAAATTAGGATATAAAAAGTTGTAGTTATTCTTATGTATTATGTTGTTATCTTGTAAATATACTTTTATATTATATAATTTAAAAGTAAAATAGAAAATTATCTATTATTAATTAAATATAAATTATCACTCAAGAAATATTATTTAAGAAGTGAATTTGCTGATTCATTAAGTTCTCCATGATTTTAGGTGATTTTAATTATATATCATAATTTTTATAATCTTATATAACTAAAAAATTATCATATTATAATTTTAGAAAATAATTAACTTATGCATTATATTGTTATCTTTAAAATATGTTTTCTATTATAAAATTAAAATTAAGATATAAAAATTAAAATTAAATATAAATTAAGTAAAAAGTTTGTATAAATATTATAATTAAATAGAAATAAAACAAAATAATTATAGAACTATATTCTTTTAAATATTTTTGGAGTTTGAGTTTTGTCATTAATAATTATTTGATGTTTGTTTTTAACTTTTTGAAAAAATAATAATAACTTATTATGGTGATTTTTAAATTAATGAAACATCAACTAATAAATATTTATAAGAGAATTATGTCCGCAAGTGTGGGCAAAACACCTAATTAATTTTAGGATAGAAGTTTATCTAACTTAACAGAAACCTCATCCAAAGAACTTTTCTTGTTTTTGGGGTAAAGTTAGTTTAAACTTTAAAGGAGTTAATTTTTGTGGTGATATGGTTTAATTTTGGTTTAGTAACAATTTAAAAATGGTTAATAGTTAATTGGCAAACTGTAAACCAAATTAAATTGGGCTTGTGTGGTCTAAAATTATGAGTTTGCGTACGTTTTCAAAATTTTAATTCGGAGAAATATAAATTTGGATTATTTTCTAAAGAAGCTTAGAATGAAACTATAGTTAGGGAAACATCTGGTTTTATATGATTCTTCTTTGCGAAAAATAGATAGTCGATCAATTTCATATTTTTCCAACGATGACACATCTTCACCGGTAGCATAACACAATCAATTTTAGTGGTCCGAACGCTATTTCTTAAACCACAACTATAGAACAAGATTACACATTCTACGTTTATGACAATCATAGTTGCTCATAAATATATTTCAAGAAATATAACGAATCGTTTTTTTTATTAACTTGAGATATCCTAAATTTATAGAGAGATTTAGACTAATCTATAAAGGGAAGTGCATCAATTCGGTTTTGGTCGCTTCATAAATAGTTACCTAAAATTATAGGAGGAAGTCAAAATTAAATTATGAAACCGAGGTGTGCCCATAGCATGTATTCTAAGCTAAAAGTCTTGGTAAAAAAAAAAAAAATTATCTTACCATGTATATCGTACAAGTAAAACATAAAATCCAAACATTCTATGTGTATAAAAAGTTTGCAACTATTTAATTTCGTTAGCAACAAAGAAAAGAAAACTCACTCAGAACGAACTCAAACAAAACGATCAAAATGGTTTTAAGCAGTAAATGTATTTTTCTTGTGTTCTTATGTCTCACTGTTCTCTTGATCCCAGGTATGTAACTTAAATTATAAATTTGTTTTTTCTACGTGATATTCTCTTATTTGTGTGCCCGTGCATACTATATACGTTTTTATTGCTACAATATAATCAGCATAATGCATTTACAGTTTAGAGAAAGAGATTCACGCTTAAGGCTTTTTATGTTTTTATTTACTACACTATCTTTTGTAAACAACATATATTGCAGAATTTGCAAAAGCTCAAGGAAAAAGGAAACCGATCCTGATTGGTTCATGCGATCTTTTTCCACACTGCAGTCAGACTTGCGTTGAATCAAATTTTTCTGGTGGGAAATGCATCCCTTTACCACCGTCTGGCATTAGTTTTGTATGTGTTTGTTATCCAAAATATTGAGGATATTTTTTTTACTGAAAAAAAGAAAAATGTTGAGGATATTGCATTACTGTTATAATTATTTTAGTTAAAAAGGTTGCAAAAATATATTACTAAAAAAATATTTGAAAAACTTTGTATTATGTTATAAGCCCGATGGGCATATGCAACAACTCATATTTAACTCTATAGTTCCATATCAAAAATCCAACATAAATAAACATACATGACCATGACATGTCTAATAATCAACGCAAAGCAACAATAAACATGTGTCTTTGAACAAAGAACCATCAGAACGTCGCTGTTGCTCCCACCGACATTGCAGTGTCGGCATCTAAACCTCGTCACTCGTCAGAAGCTACGTCCAAGTATCGCTGCAAGACCTTTAGCAAACCCTAGAGATTTAAGATTATCAAAAATAAAATATTCCTCAAAAACACTTTCAACATCAAACATCGGCGAGAAAACTCAAAATCGGCTTATTCTGCATTAAGTCAATTTTTTAAAAAAAAATCCCAAACCACTTGAAAAATAACTCTTTGATCAGGTTTGTGGAGTGAATTCCTCTGTCCTGTGTGCGGAAGTCATATGAAATAGTCCAGTAAGGATTCAAGTCAGGTTGTATTTGGATTTTGCAACTCGGAAATTATCATAGATTTATGATCTGAAGCATTCGAGCCCGCAGGAGAAGGACAAGCTCACTCTATATTAAGTTCATGTAGGAAGAGCAACTACAGTAATATGTTAATATAATATTTAAAAAAATTATTATATTAAAATAATTTTGTGATGAAAACTTTTTGAAAAATTACTAATGCGGAATCTCGTGAAATGTATATAGTATATGTCTACTTATTAAGTTTCAGTTGATCGCGCATTTATATAGATGGAAACGAAAAAAATAGAAAGAGTAAATGCACAAAACCAACTTCACAAACACTACTTTGAATTGCACTGTCAATTCTGTTCTATGGAGTAAAGTTTTGACATTTTTTTTTCCTTTTTTTTAGTTGACTGTTTTTTTGTTTACCTTCTAAGGTTTTTTTTTTAATATTTTCTTCCCTCACTTGGAACTCACTTATTTCGACCTTAATATTTTACCACCTAAATATTCAAACACGAACATTTACTAAAACATTTAAATCGAAAATATTTCAAGATAAAAAAAATTGTAGATCTATCTACTTACGTAAGTGTTGTTTGATAAGTATTCCAAAATATCATTTTTTCCTGTATAATTTAGAGACTTGTTACATCTATTAAATGTCATATAAAACGGAAACCCCATTCCATTAAATTAAAACTAGTTTTTTCATATTTTTTTAACAACTCAATTAATTTGTTTAGTTTCACTAATCAGTTGTCTGTTAAAAATTTATTTGTGTCAAATCGAACTTCAATTAACTCGAGGTGCGTTATAAACACATTTATATATATATAGAGAGCTTATACTATAAAGTCTAGCAAATATAGAGTCTATTATCAAAAGTTATCATAGATGTTGACATTAATTCATTAAGTAAACACTCGATAGTAGTCAAAATATATATTGAAAATGGACCAAGCCATGACACGACAAAGACACGAGTCTGATTCTATCATTCTAAGAACACAACAGTAGCTTAAGACGCACGTTAAATAGCTAGCGAAAAATGCAAAGTCCAAAACCCTAAAAGACATGATTATTGCTCTGACATTGTCTTAAGCAACTCAAGGGAAATGAACTCCTCCGGTACTTCCCCCACCAACACCACCAAGTCCACCAAAGCCAAGATTACCACTTGGACCAGAGACACCTCCACCGACGCCACCGAAAGGTAAACCATTGTCTCCGATGCCAGAATACCCACCACCGAATCCGAGGTAATTCTTCTGGTCAGAGAGTCCTCCTGGGACGTTTCTTGCACCACAAGCAAAAGCTGAGGCTAGGGCAAGAACCAAGCAGAGAGTGGAAGAGAACGAACTTCGCCATAATCTTACTCAAGTGGTTAAAACTGTATATTGATTCAAAAAGTAGATAAGCTTTGAGTTAATTCCGTTTGTTGCCTTGACGAAAATCTGGGAGCTATGTTGGGTCCTTTTAAAGGCAGAGAGGCCACATAAAAGAAACAAATAACACTTGACCGGTGTAGATAGTTATTGCCAAAGTAAATGCTTTAACCAAACGCTCTGATATCAAGTTTAAGTTTATCTACATTCATGTTGCCGCGGTAACTAACGTTCCACAGCGTCTTAAGCGGTTGAGCTAGTCAATGCGGTCATAAAATGTTGTTGACATTTTGAACGATATATATTAACACGGTAAAATAAAGAATTAAAGGTTTTTAACTCTTGATTAGTTTAAGGCTTTAAAAGCGACCAAACATCTCTTTGTAAATGTCGAAATCATGATAAACGATGATTGATGCATTCAAAAATAATATAGCAACTATACAATTGATTAACTCTTTAATTAGTGTGTGAATCGTTGATAAAAATGACTATTTCGTCCGTTGAGACCATTATATTAAATTTTATTGCTGAAATAATTACATGATCGTTTGTAATGTATTTTTGTCAAGGATACAAGTAACAAAAATTAATTTGGTACATTTTAACAAAAGAAACCAACCATTGGTGTATAATATGTAGACTTTGATGATCGACCAAAGAAGCAAAAATAAAAGGTCGTCTCCTGTTTGACAAACAAGTTAACTAAAATCATTTTCTTAAGTTCTTAATATGGTAGTAACTATATTTCGTTGTCTAGCTAACTTCAGCTTTGAGGAGTCTTGTTTAGCTTTTGCTAGTTGTAAGATATCTATATAGATATACTCCCCCCGTTTCATATTAAGTGTCGTTGTAGAGAATTTTTTGTGTTACAAAATAAGTGTCGTTTTCGGTTTTCAATGCAAAATTTATTAATTTTGTTATGTAATTTGTTTTTCTATTGGTTAAAATATGGTTAGGTGTATGGGTAATTATGTTTTTATATAGAAAATATGTAAAATTAATTGTTTCCTTAATCCGTGTGCACAGCTGTAGAATG